AACTTGTTCTCTTACCTTAAAATCTAAAATATCGAATTCTAAATTGTAATGTAAGAACAACTTGAAGTATAAATCACTTGAAAAAGCTACTGTGCTAGCGAAACATGTTGTGATATAGTTTTCAAAATAAAGTGTGTGAAGATCAAATCGTGAGGTGTAGTTTTTGAAATTACTATGGATCTTCATCAAGTAACGGTCGAAAAAAAAATTCAAAAACTCTTTATTTATAGCAAATGGAATGGGCTCCAAGATTTTGTGCCAAATGCGTTGCCCAACTGATTCGTTACTTGACTCATCATCCAAGAGGACTTCGTGCGGACGATCTACATGTGATAGGATACAGTGTGGGGGCACACATAGGAGGATTGGTAGCTAACTACTTAGATCCTGTCAAAGATGGGAAGCTTGGCAGAATCACAGGTAAAAAGCGAAAGTTTATCTCATACATGCCTTCATCCTTACCTTCTTTCTAAAAAGGTGTTATGAACATTGAACGTAAGCCATTTTTATGGACGGAATCAGAGTTTTTATTGACATTCTTTGGGTATTTTCACCTTCCACGGTCTGAAAAATATGAAAATATTAATGGAGAACTTTATTCACGTGTAGGAAGGGCGAACCTTTCAGTTTACGTGCAAACTTTTAAGTTCACATGCCTCCGTCTTCAGAATTGACTGAGTATATTCGCAATTTTTTGGAAGCAATCAATTCTTGAAAAAATAACTCTATATAAAGATGTGTAGATCATGCAAAGAAGTAATTTTCAAATACAAACTTGCAGAAAAGGCCTTTCGAAACACTTACTTTCATATAAACATTGAACTGTACGAAAAATTACGTCTTACGTAATTTTACGTCTTTACGTATTGATTTGTTTCTCTCAACTTTCAATTCAAAAGGAGTTTTGAAAGGTGAATTATATCAATATTGTTGATTGACTTTGAAATATTCGATGTAGTATTTGTGTTATAGTATGTTGCATTTTTGCCACTACCCATATCTTTCTTCAATACGGGTAACCAAGTACGATCCTTTTCTCAGAAGCGGTTTGAAATACACTGCGTTCCAGATATTAGAATACGAGGGTGATCTGAAAAGTTTCCGACCTCTAATGAAGATAGCAGCACTCGAAAATAAAAGCCGGTGAATTTCGTTGTTCATCTGTTGACAGTTACTCACCAAAGTTTCAGCCATTTTGGAAGCGCAGTTGAGTGGGTTAATGTGAGTGTTTTTATGAAACTGGACAAAATCCAGTATCGAGCTGTCATTAAATATTTGATTTGAAAGGCAATACGCCCATGCAAATCAAAGATGAGTTGGATTCTGTATATGGCTGCTCTGCACTATCATTTACCACAGTGAAATTGAGCAGCTGAATTTAAACGTGACCGTAAGAGCTTGGGAGACGATGAACGTTCGGGACTTCCAAAAATTGCAAGTACCATCGAAAACATTGCCAAAGTTCACCAGATGGTGCTAGACGACCGCCGAATTGAAGTGAGAGAGATAGCAGAGCTTATGAACATGTCAAAAGAATGTGTTTGTCACATTTATGCATGAGAAAGCTGTCTGCGCGTTGGGTTTCGCGTTTGCTCACATCAGACCAAAAACGTGTTCGAATTAACATTTAAACGCTCTGTTCGTGCAATTTAGGCGCAATAAATCCGAGTTTTGGTGCCGATTAGCGAATGTTTTTGGGATAGTCATAGAGTTATTTCAATCGAATATCTTCAAAAAGGAAAAATTATTATGGAAAAATATTTCGCATCATTAATTAAGGAGCTGAAGGCAGAACTTGTGCAAAAACGGCCACATTTGCAGAAAAAGAACATCCTGTTTCACCAAGATAACGCACCGTCTCACACCTCAATGGTTGCCATTGCGAAAATCCACGAATTACATTTTGAACTGCTTGACCATCCGCTTTACTCACCAGATATAGCCCCAAGCGACTTCTATTTGTTCCCTCATCTGAAAATTGCGCTCGGAGTTCGAAGATATTCGTCAAATGAAGAAGCAATCACCTTCGTGAACAATTAGGAGACTATGTTGAAACATTTTTAAAAAATCTTAAAAAATCTCTTATATTTTTGTTAGGTCACAAACTTTTCAGACTACCCTCGTATATTCCTATTTTTCAAGTTTACATTTCTTAGCGACTGGTGCATTGGCAATCATTTTCGTCTTGTGCCATTCCACTCGGTGTTCATAGTCGGATTTTAAAATGTGCTCTTATAATGTTTATCCTGTCAATTGTCTACCAAAATTCGATAAAATAAACTTAAAACTTATTGCAATATAAGTACTCAAAACTTATTTCATGTTGGGGAATTGATAATAAGAAAGTAAGAAAAACCATAGCAATGTTCTTTTTAGATGGTATCCTTTGAAAAACTGTAAATAATGTCCATGACAACTTTAGTTTGAAACGTCTTCTCAACTTGTTTTGTATGTTACAACATTAGTTGTCAGTATTTGACAAATGGTTGGCTTAACGGAAATACTCAGGAGCTCATGGAAGACGATTTTGATAGAACTTATTTTTGTGAGCAAATGATGGACATGTTGAATAACAATATCATTCAATCAGAAGACGCTATGTTTTCTGATGAGTATACTTTGTCTCTCAACGGGCATGCTAATCGTCAAAATTGCCGCTACTGGTCAACGGAAACTCCTCACTGGATGAGAGAAGAACACGCACAATACCCTCAAAAGGTTAATGTTTGGGCAGGGATTGTAGGAAACCATATCATTGGATCCTTTTTCATTGAGGGCAACTTGAATGGTGATAATTATTTGGCACTACTTCAAAATTATGTCATTCCAAATTTAGCAAAATTATATCCTGATCCAGGAAACTCTCAAGTTCCAGTGGATACGATATGGTTTCAGCAAGATGGAGCACCACCACATTACCAAGTTAATGTCCGGCAATACATCGATACAACATTTCCCAATCGGTGGATAGGGAGGCGAGGATCGATTGAATGGCCAGCGCGATTACCTGATTTTTCATCATTAGATTTTTTTTATGGGGATATGTAAAGATCAATATGTATAAAACTAAATCTTCAGATTTGAATGACTTAAAAAAACGAATAATGCTTGCGATTAGGTCGGTCACGCTTGTCATACATTTTAGTTTTTGTGTGTATTTTATCGAATTTCGGTAACCACATGATTTTAATATATTTTATCTTAATTGTTGCAATAAATTTGAAAGCGATACCATTTTTGAATAGAGAATGAAAAGGCCTTTTAAATGATACTATATTTCCTATTTAAAAAATTGGGGGTTGTACCTGTCGTTCAAAAAGGGTTGAAGGTAGGGGTAGCATTTTTACATTGAAGAATGTCGAATGATAATTTAAATTTGACGTGTTTCGGGATTTTTTTAAATATATACAGTAACCGAAATAATGAATTTATTCCATTAGTCTGTTACACACTGTATATTTATGCTATTGTTATTTTGAACTTATAACTATTCTTTATATTTTCAATTCAACTATCACTTTATACACTATTCTGTTCGTAACGATGGGTCTGTTGTTTATATTTATATACTGTACATTCTATTTTAGTGTATCTCACCCCTAAGTGTACTTTGACTTGACTCATGCTCCCCGCTTGACCTTCCAAGAAGAAAACAAGTGATGGGAAAATATTTGAGCTGATCAAGTATTATCTTGTTACTTCGAAAGAATATGATTTCAAATGTTCAACAAGTCGAATGCCAAATCTACGAAAAGTTAGTCAGATGTGTTCTGTTATCAGCGATAATAATTTCATAAAGATGGAGGTGTAGTAACGGTTGATATATGTGAATACCTATTTGCCTAAAGTCNTTGAAATTTTTTTATACAACCAATTTCTGTGTCACAGTGTATTTTGACAAGATAAAATCCAACTAGACTTTTGCACTATTATCAACAAAATATTCTGTTAGTGAGAAAGAGTACTGGTAGTTGATATTAGTATTTGAGAACTGGTCATTTCATAGAAACAATGTAGAAAACTGTGGGCTGAAATGAATAGTATATTGATTTTAAATAACCCCGTGTTTTTGTTCGGTACTCACGATACATCTGTTTCATGTATTATTATTATTGCTTTATTTTTCCCAAAGGGTAAGCTGGTCGGGCGCTGTTCCCTATGCTCTGACACATTTGAGAAGGCGCGCCAGTATTGATAACCATTGACCACTCTCCTCACCATGAGGTAAGTGATCATTGGGTCCGAGAATCATGTGCCCTGAGGAAGCGCAGTGAGCCAAGAATGGCAGCCTTCTGCATTTGTCCGGCCTAGATGATTCCACCAATGACTCCAATAATCAGAACAACCATCTCAACAGAGTGGTTGGTTGGAAAGAACTACATAATTATCATTATTGTTATTATTATTTTTTCCTAACGTTGCGTTGGTAGGACCCTGTCTCCGAAGCTCCGATACATTATTATTATTATTTTTTACCGTAGTATGCGCTGGTCAGGCGCTATCCCCCTAAGCTCCAACCACCACTTCCCACACCGTGGGGTAAGTTATCATTGGGTCCAAGAATCATGTGCTCTGTGCAAGCGCAGTGAGCCAAGAATAACAGCCTTCTGCATCTGTCCAGCTAAGATTTCTTCCTTAGTGCGGCAAGCCGGTATGATTTTAAGTTTCGAGAGTAGAAAGGGCATCATTCCAGAACAACCATCTCGACAGAGTGGTCTGGACAGAGTCTGCGGAGTTCGAAAAGAAAATCGCGATATTTTATCCGTTTCTTCTTCTCTTTTCGGACAATATTCGTTTCACCAGGAGCTGAAAACTGCACGACAAATATAGCCTTGCTCTGGTGGTCGAGAAAGACTACATCGGGCTTATTAGCTTCTTTGAGCCTGAGGGTGGGGAACGAATAGTTCCAATGAATTCGGCACTTCTCGTTCCCCCACAACGGATTCAATATCCCCTGGAGCGTAAAAATTGATTAACATCTTGTTGTTTGTTGTACAGGTCTTGACCCGACTATTTTTTTCTACATGGGACAAAATTCTTCTAAAGATTTAGATTCATCGGATGCTCATTTCGTGGACATACTTCATACAGGAGCGGGTATTCTTGGGCAATGGGGCCCCAACGGCCATGCAGATTTCTACATAAACGGTGGTTCTAGTCAACCTGGATGTAGTAGTGACACGATTTTCCGTAAGTAACCGATTTTTTGAGGCTTTTGATATCATTACCTCTCAAAATAATAGAAAAAAATCACTCAAATTCAAATAATAATAACCCGATACTTATTTTTCACTTCTGATACTACGTGGAATTGGTTGATACTACATTTAGAACTAAAGTACTCAAATTTTCAACATGGTGAACATGTAATTACATAAGTGCCTATTTATCAATGTTAGATTCCGCTTTACACCTTGACTAGAGGCTCTCATTAGTGGCTCAATGAAAATAAAATTGAAACATTTGAAGTTCTTGTATAATTAAATCGACAAGGATAAACAATCTGAAAATGAAATTTAGTAGAAAGCAGGAGTTCAATATACTTTTGAAAAACTGACTAGACTGAAAAAAGGGACTCCAACATGTTATGAATATTTCACAACTGTTTGGTAGAGTTGTTTGATACGTAGGTAGTATGATAAATTTCTTAATCCAGCTACTTATATTGAGTGGAGAAATCGATGTTTCGTTTTTAATTCAAAAATTAAATGAAACTTATCATAACTTTTCAAAAGATTATTTGAAATGAAAGTAGTAAGTTATTTTCTGATATTTCTCAATCTAACTACTTTTATTGAGGAATTTTCTTTTTTCTATGCGGAATTGATATTAGGTTTCAAAAAAAATAAAACAAAACCAACGTCATGTCAAAGTGTATGAACTTTTTTGATCCATTGATCCAAAATAGAAACATAAATGTCCTATGACTATAAAAATATAAATAAAATATAGTGTACACTAAACTAAAGTATAAAAAACATTGAATGAAAACAATACACAATGGTTGAAACAAATAAACATATAAGACATGCTAGGTTAAAAATGATAGTGTACACTAAACTGAAGTATGAAAAACACTGAACCAACACCAACAAACATTGGTTGAAACACGTACACACATAAGACATGCTAAAACGGTAATAAATTGTACTCACATGGAACACTGTCACCATGTGAGTACAATTTATTACCATTCAACCTGGATTCGACCTGGGCATGATAAACAGCCATAAGTTGGTTTATGTTGAGAACATTCCTCAAGTTAATGAAAAGATAGGTTATAGAGCTCAATTTTGAAACTAGTTGATCACAGTGCTCATTCCAAGAAAGACTCTCATCCATTTGAATGTCTAGGAATTTAACAGCATCATGGGTGTTCCTCAAAACATAGTCATTAATAGTCACCTGAATATCATCGGTTTTATTTTGATAGTTGTGAAAGCGGATTAACTGAGTTTTTTTTTTACATTAAAAAACAGGTCGTGACTATTGAAATAGTTTGAAACTACATACAGAGTATATTCACATTTTCGTGTTAATTCATTCGTCGCTTTTGCAGATATTAACAAACTAATATCATCTGCATAAGCAGTTACTGTAGAATATGGTATTTTCCTGTCCATATTATTGATATATAATAGATATAATTGGACCGACCTCATTTCTGATGTTGAAGACCAATAAACATCACCAATAAACATCACCGTCAAATTTGAGCGAGACACACTGCATTATGTTGCTGAGAAAAGATGAAACCCATGAATGTGAATTTCCTCTTATTCCATAACGATCCAGAATATATAATAACTTGGTATGATTAACACAGTCAAAAGCCCTGCTCAAGTCACCGAGAACTATAGCGGGACACTTGCCCGAGTCGATAAATTCAATCAAGTCAACGTAGAAGATAGTAGGGCACTTTGAGTTGATTTGCCACACCGGAAACCATGCTAAATTGGAGTCAGAATATTATGTGATCCGATAAAATTATTTAGGCGTTCTAAAAATCTTCGAGAAAGTTGGAGGAATAGTAACTGGTCTGAAATTTTCTAATATCGATAATTTTTTTGAATGGGAGTTACTTTACGCACCTTCAGCTTTGATGGGAAGATGCCCTTTGAAAATGATACATTCACCAAAAAGGTTAACGGTTCTATGATAGTACTTAATATTTTTTTTACCTCGTCGATTCCTGAAGCCCTTTTGTTCCTCATTTTACGACTGACGAGATCGAACAGTTCGCTTTCAATGAATGGTTAAAAAAAAGTGTGTGGATAGAAATCTATGGAATTAGTCAGATTGTCTAGATGAAATACCTTCGGAATTTTCCCCATCAGTGCTTGGGGGGCCTCGATGAAGAAATTGTTCAATTCAGTCACAATATTTGCAGGATCTTCTATCAACTCAATATTCTTTTGAATAACTATATCTCCTGATGAATGTTTTAGGTACTCCACTTGAGAGTTCAGATACAAACATTCCATAAAACCCTTGAACTATACTCAGACATTCGTTTTCACTCTTGATAACAGTTTTTTTTCGTTTCTCTTACTAAATTTGTATGTTTTTTCTTGTTATTTTTGTAAATATCAGCCAAAGAAGGGTCATTTTCCTCGAGTAATCATTGTGGGCCAACCCACCAATGGGCGAAGATTGGAAACAAGACATCACATTGCACAATGATCTAAAGTGGGAATTAGAGTAGGTATAAATCGAAATTAAAATCACCACAAATGTAAATAATCATACCAAGCCTGTAAATGTGATTCAAAGCATCACAAATATTAGCAAAAAATGAATCAAGCATCTCCACAGGAGGATCTATAAACATTCATTATTAACATATTTCTTCTCATTTAGAATGTAAGAAATAGCACAACATTCGAAATGCTGCTGTATGCAATTACTTCTTAAGATAGGTAACTTTTACATTTATATTATTTCGTGCCCATATAGCTAATCCTCCTTAACACCTATCTCAGTTTTGCACAAAAACTCCAAACTATTATAATAATCTAGTTCTATCTGCAGTGTTCATTTTATCAAAATTTACAGTATTTATATTCACCAGGGTCCTCAAACCCTCGTCCTGGATTACTGTAGGCCGACCATTTCGGTGCTCATTTTCGAGGTTAAAATCTCTGGAACGAAATTTTGCAAATCAACGTCGAACACTGTGTTCATTAACACTATCATTGCCAAATGCCTGGTTCATTTATCGGAATGTGTCGGCAGCGCTTTGGTTCAATTCGAATTCATAGAGAAAAATTGGCCAACAATCGCTTAACCACATCAAATAGTAATAAGCTGAAGAGAGACATCAATCAGTATATACATCGACACAGTGAAACGAATATTTATTGAGATATGTAGCTACAAAAACACATGACATTTAAACGGACAAAACTTTTGAAACAACCTTACAGAAAGCCAAAAAGGTTTTATGTCATTTATATCATAAGTTTTTGATAGTGTTTTGAAACTTAGGTAGTAGGCATTTTAATTTTTTTCATTATTTCCCAATCCAAATACTTACTTTGAGTGGAGAAATTGAAGTTTTCTTTTCAGTTCAAAACGAAAATGAAACCAATGTCGTATCAAAGTAAATATAGTGGAAAGCAACAACTCAATATTGTATAGTCAAAAATGTGCTTATACCTACTGAAAAAAAGGACTCTAGCAAGTTTTGAATGTTTGTGAAATTGGTGGCTATGGGTCCTTCAAATCAAATTCATGCCAAAATTAAAAATGTCAGCAGATCACTAATATATATCCATTCATGTTATAATGTCTAATTTGTACATCATTACTTAATAATTTATTTTTCTTACAAGCAGTCTATATATTTTATTTGACTTATTTTTGGGAATATTTCATTTTTCATATTCCATTGTAACTGAAGTAGTAATATTTTTTAGAAACTTTGGCATGTGACCATACAAAAGTGACGCCATACTTCATTGAGTCTATTGTAACCACGAACGGTTTTTGGGCCTACCCTTGTCCGACATTATTGAGTTTCATGATAGGCTGGTGCAGCCCTCAAGACAATGAATACGTTCTAATGGGGGAGCATGTCAGTCATAGGTGAGTATTTGAATATATTACACTTCTGTTATTTGAGTGTATAATGTTGTCTAAAATATATTATTTGAAAGAACATATCGAAATGTTCACTTTTCCAGTTAACTTGGCCAACTTTCCAGGTCGAGTTTTCTTCAGAATTTTCAATGGGACTACTTTATTTGTGATACATCATTTTGCCTAAAGGAATTCAATTCCAAAATCGAATTCTGAAAGAAGCAAAATTCCATCCTTATAAAATGCAGAATGTAAAAGAATTAAATGAAGATGATTCTGACAAGACGTACAGAGTTTTATGAAATCATGAGTCGATTATTGATTGGAGGTAATAATTACCCCTACAGTGTGTGCTTTTCTGACGAATCTTCTTTTTCTTTGAATAGACATGTGAACAGACACAACTGCAGATACTGGAGTTACTTAAATCCCCATTTGTACAGAGAAACTCATTCACAAACTCCCCAGAAATTGGAGAGTTTGTGAATGCGTTTCTCCGTTTGAGCTGGTATTTTGGGAAACCATATTGTAGGTCCATATTTTATTGATGGTGTAACCACAACGGACAAATGTATCTTGAACTTCTTGATACAACTGTGAACTCCAGAATCACTCAGTTACTTGAAGCCGGTGATAGTCTACTTGAAGGTCACCTTTCAACTTTCACATTTTGTTGCACCTGTACGTCAATTTTTAGATGACAATTTCACATGAAGGTGGATTAGAAGGCGAGGATCAATAGAATGGCCGGCTAGGTCTCCTTATTCATAACCATTCGACTTGTTTATGGGGTCATTTGAAATCCAAAGTTTATATTACATAGCCAAATTCTCTTGATGATCTTAGCAGGAGAATTGTTGTGGAGTGTCGTGCAGTGACTCCAGAAATGTTGAGAAATGTGCGAAGACATTTCGAAAATCGCTTATACTTCTGTGTGTAACTGAATGGTTCAGATTTTGAACCTTTCATAAGATGATTACATTTTAGTTGATGAAAAATAAAAAAAGGCTTGGCAAACTTAGTTTTCATTAAAACTTCAACAATACTTGATCGATACTCAATTTCATTACACCGATGTATTCAGGATTGAATTTTCTTCAAAATGATGTATCACAAGTATATTAGTGTCATTGAAAATTCTGAAGTATGGGGTGCTGGGGATGAGAGGGTTGACAACACAATGATGATGTGTTTGGTGAAATTATTCCCCCTTGAAATAAAAATAGACGGATCTGAGCGATTTTCGATTTTTTTTCACGAGTTCGCAAATTAGGGGGGTGACAAGTTTTAGCTGAGACACACTGTATACTTATATGCATTGTATTCAATGGTGATTTCTACACAATTGTGCAGATGAATTATATATTTGACCTCCATCAACTCGTGAATATACATTATGCCCTACCTCAAATATAACATGGTTATCCAGATAAATGCAGATTCCTCCCAAAGGCTAGTGATTTCTGAAAAAAGAGTGATACATTTGATAGAACTGAGCGATACTTGATGATAATCTATTAAAACGTATTCAAAAAAACTTTAATGTGAGATTTCATGTGGAAATCTTAAATTGAATTGTTTTTTTTTAATACGAACGATTGATATGTTTAATTTTTTGTTCAAAACAGAATGTTTCGTTGATAGTGATATGCTGAAGAAATTTTCCTTAAATTCTGATAACCACGGCTACTATACTAATTCCACATAACAAAACATTTTTTTGAAAATGCACCGTTATATTCAGTAATTCAGTGTGCTAAAAAGCGAAAAACATATCAACAGAGTCAAAAATATGTTGGTCAGCAAATGTTACTATCATGTGAAAAAATATGAAATTGCAAATAGGTGTAAATCTTTCTCTACAAGTGCCTAATGGCAACTTGTCACAAAGCTCGGGAAACTTTCACCAAAGTTACTAAAATTATCGGTGACCTCAAAAACAAAAAATCATCGGGACCAGATGAAATTAGAAATTAATATCTAAAAATAGTAGTCAATTATATTTCAGAACCCTTAAATATTATTTCACCTGAACAGTATGATGTATGGTCTCAGAGAGAATAATTCAACGCAGGATGTTGTTCTGTCAAGGTTCTATGAAAATGTAGATAGAGAAAAGTATGCCTTGTAGTCTTTAATGATAATGTAGTCTTCAGCCAAGGAATTTTATTGCAAAAACTGGAAAATATAGGCATAAGGGGAGTTGCTCTAGGTCTCTCTAAAGATTATTTGACAATTAGAAAACAGAGAGTGAAGATTAATGATTCAGTCAGTAATGAGAGCAGTGAAATTCGCGGTGTCTCACAGGGTACCGTACTTGGACTCATATTTTTCAATACCTATCTAAATCAACTCCTTACTTTGAATATTGTTGAAAGGTAGCTGAAAGGAATTTGAGAGGAATTTGAAACAGTCCGTTAGGATTAACAACCAAGTTGTTGAAATAGTATCGTCAGTGAAGTACTAAGGCATTTTTATAGACTCTATGTTGGGATGGATATAGACATCGATAAGCTGAAAAATAATCTTCGAGGACTAATTTTCCAGTTTTATAAATTTCATAAAATTATTTCAGATGAAAAGCTCAGATTCCTCTATTATGCACTAGTAGAATATCTACTGCAATGGGATAATTGGGTGGGGTGGAGCAAACAAAACAATTGTTGGAACTCTTGAAAATGTACAAAAATGAATCCTGAAAATGATATACCGTAAACCTTCTCGTTTTTCTTCTGATGCATAATACCACGAGCTACCAATTCTTGACATTAGGCAGTCATACTCTAAGTCGACAATACTTTTAATTCTTTAACGAAAACAATACACCATGAAACGGAATCATTCTTGTAATACAGTGGCCTTAATATCATCTGATATTGTTATACCAAATGAAGCAAATAAAGCAAATAAAGCAGTGGGCCAAAAATATTTCACATATATAGGGCCAAGATTATATAATATAATACCAGATTCACTGATAACGACTTACGGGAAAAATCCTTTGGAAAGGGAACTCAAAAAATGGCTACTTTCCGAAAATAGACAGATTTTCCATCCTAAGTGATAGTCCAAACTGATTCATCCTCCTTTCTAGATTATCAACTACCTTTATCATGGTTGATAAATGATCGTCTTCCTTCAAGTAGACTGGTTTTTATGAAACCCTTATAGTTGTTGATCTGTATTTTTTGATGTTTCTTCTGTCAGGTTTAGTGAATTTGCCAGTATATAAGTGGCGTTAAAAGGACTTTCGGTTTAACTCTCTAATCCATCTTTTAGTATACTTCATTCAGACGCAGGGCGCTTCATTGATTTCTGTATATCGGGCAGACTGTGATTAATTAAAACTTGCAATTTAATTCGTATGTACCTGTAATCGCGAAACTTTTCCTTTTTGATAAGCGGCAGAGAATTATTCCACTTTCACCGAACTTTTTAACTGTCAGGTATTTACGCCTACGTTGTTTATGTTATTGATAAATGGGAAGATTGGGAATTCCAAGAGAAAATAGACAGATATGTTTTACATAATATGAAAATCACCAGTAATTCCTCGTGACATAACAATGTAGATTATGAATACATAAAATCAGCATTGAGAGAGAAGAAGACCCATTTTGGTAAAACAGTTTTATTATTTGCACGTGTTGTTGAATGCTATAACAGTCCATAGTGGTTGGGCAAAAATACTGAATAAATGACAACTAATTTGACAGATGTAGCTTCAACAAAATGGCCGT